GGCAGCACTTTTAACTCGCTACTGAAAGACATTTTAAAGAATGTTCAACATTACCGAGGCTAAGACTCTTTACCTTGATAGTTTCTAAAGAATCTTACACTTTAGAACCATACTTTAAACGTGGATATGAAAAATTTTCTCTTTGTTCATTTCTATCCTCGCTATTACTAATTTCTACATTTATATTTACTTTTTCTTCCATGAAAATGGATTAATCATTAAATTGACGAAAATTAGAAATAGAAATTATAATAGAACGAAATATTACTGAAAAAGTATCGATAAACGATTTGATTCATCTTCCATTTATACAAACCCTTATACGCGATACCATCTAAATCCCTGGCAAGCAAGCCGGAGTCACAAACCGTTTATTTATGGTTTTGGATAGAGTTCACGGCTGTTTCAAAAGTTCACAGTTCGCACTGAATCACCGGACTCGGGTCATAGTTCTAGCGTGTAACAATGAAAAATAAATGGACCTCTGTACACAAATGCTCGATCGAGCCTCAGTCTTTGTACGATCCTCTGACTCTGAATGAACTCGATTCTCAGATGTGTAATACCCTTTGGCAAATATCCCGAAACGTATTGGGTTTGTTCATACAACGACGCATCGTGGAAATCTGGAAACTCAAACAAACGGGACCCTTCTGCAAAATTGCAGCTTGTTCAATCTATTTGCCGATTTTATTCTTCGATCATCGTATTAACTTTGATAGCAAGAAATAAATTGCTGAGAAATTCCTAATTTTTCTAAAAATTATTATTTCCAACAGTGGGTGTGGGGTATGCAAGCATCACAGCTTGAAGAGAATATTCTTCTTTCCCTTTGATAATTTTTATTTTTTTAAAAATTGATAATAAAATTGGCATAGATAACGACGATTCACCCAATCAGAAGATCTACATAGCATCTGTGCTCTATGTGCAATTTGGGAATTGCCAATGCATTGTGTATATGAGCAACGCAAACTGTGTGCAGTTGCCTTAAGTTCGACCTACGTTCCCGTTTGAATCAACAACGACTGTTCCAATGTAGACAAACATCTGTACACCGTAGAACGAGCTATGCCAGGAGCAAACGTTAACAATATACCTGTGGATGGAGTAAATGCATCAAAGTATTGAATTCTACCTTAACGTGTCGACTGTTCCCTACAATAGCCAGACCTTAGTAAGATTAATAGGCATTTCTATGATACGAGCCATATGTGCCGCAACGTATCCTCACTATGGGAGCCATTAATCAACGTTGAATCGTAAATAGATCCGAACGAACCGAGATGATATGGTAAATAATTGAATAGAGACATTAATCACGGGTATAGTTCTAAAGTTGGACCGCCAAAACGTTTTGCATCAATGGCTGTTGTATAAACAAATACTTTCAGTGAAGGGAACATTTGTGGCTACTGAATAGCCACAACTGAATTCCTAGAATGGGTGAAATTTATTTTCGTCTAGGATGGTTGGACACTGAACGTTGCAAATTGAGTAGATATAATATTTGGACTTAGGCACTTGGATACTGGGATACCCAAGTACTTAGTTAGTTGGATTCTGGGATATTTAGGTACTCAGAGCCTAGGATTCTAGGATAGCTAGATACCCAGAGCCTTAAATATTAGGATAGCTAGATAGTCAGAATCTTGGATAATAGATTACCTAGGTACACAAAATCGTGAATAATAAGATACCTAGGCACTTGAAGTCTTGGTTACTAGAATACCTAGGTACTTGAAGCCTTAAATACTAGGATACCTAGGAACTCGAAATCTTGGATATTAGGATATTTAGATATCCAGATCTTTGAATACTTGGGGTCTTGGATAATAGGATACCTAGGTACTTGGAGCCTTTGATACTAGGATATTCAGCTACTCAAATCGTTAGATACCACAATACTAAACAATTTATGTATTTATCCAAATACCATTTTGAATAATTAAAAATTTAATTAACTGGGAACATATTTCCAACAAACACGTGAAGGTCACCAAAGTTCCCCGACTGTAAGGCTAGAACGTGAAACGGTGTCATTGAACAAAAGCAATTTAAATTCTGCTAGATCAAGCCTATTCCATTATTCACCAAGGTATTCATAACACGAAATGAACATAAAGAATCGAAGCACCTGAAGCACGAACGATATTAGCTGAAACCTTTCGCTCGAAAAACTAATCCAGACCGTCTTTACGTTACTTTTATACTATCTAAAAGATGCATCTTCCTTCGTCTCCAATTTCAACGGGAACTTTACCAAGTACATTTTACGCTGATTATAAAATTTTACAGTGCTATAACACGAAATCTATACTAGATTGAAATATTGGCAAGATTTTCATGACTCAATTCAGTTTATATCTATCTCTTGAAGATTTTATAAAGAAAAGAGAGTTTCGAAAGGGTTTTCCTGAATCGCATGGGAATATGAAGAAGAATAAAGATCAATATTTAGAATTACAAAGCTGACAGATAACATGAAGTAGAAATTCAATTTTTCTGAAGACAGGTGAAATGGCAATCTTTTCTTTCCTTATGACAATTTAAAACATAGTATGATTCACTTCAAATAGTAATATTCTGTACGTTCTGCCTATCAATTTTCATGTCCCGTTTAATACAGGAAATCCCCCAAAACTTCTGGTACACCCCATATAAAATATCCATCTTGGTGCACTCTTATCGTTCATCTTCGATCCGGTCTCATAAGAGATTTTATCGACATCGCCGACGGAACTCTTCTCGAGTGCATTTGTGAGCCAATGATTGCTTCTCGGTGGTATCATGTTCGACGAGGAACTCGCAGACCCCTCGGTCTCGCCAAGTAGCAGAAAGTAAGCAAGGGTAAAGAGTCTGCTGTTATCTTTTTCTCTTTTCTCGGCTAGTCGTGACAAGGAACACGAGTTAAGTAAGCAAAGAACGAAGGAAGAGAAGAAAGTCAGAACAAACGATGAGAATTCGCTTGGAAGGGCACGTCTCGCCCTTTGTATTCGAAAATACAAGACTCCTAATTTTTCTAACAGAATGGCGAAAAATTATGACAAAATCATAATAAATCTTTTTATTTAATTGTAAATTATTTATCAACACAGTAATGGAAACAAAGAATCTTTCCTTTGAAAGAAAATGACAATAAAACAAGAGGAGAGCGTAATAAATAATCACAGGTTTTTCAGAATTAATCGGGATAGAATTTTTCTGTTCGATTTTAAACTATTTAGCATAAATTCCGAATTCCATGGACCATACGTCTGGAATGGAAACGAAAGGGTTCAATACATAATTCACGGGTGTTTTCCGGCGGATTAAATCGATCGATCGTTAATTCATTTTTCCTTTTTACCCATTGTTCTTCTGGGCTAAGAATTACGTCCGGCGAATACTCGAGTAGAGAATTAACACCCTCGTCTTTCTTATTCCCGCCACCGATTTTGTTTTGTCGTACACTTTTAACCCTCTCGACGAAGGAACATTGCTTTCCCGAGCCGTTAACGCCAAGTTACTTTTCCTTTGACTCTCGAGCTTTTGTTCAATTTCCTCCCTCTTTTTTTTTTTGCACAGCTTTGAAATGAACACTTTTTCGACCAATGAATGCGTTTAATTTAACGGACTTATCTGGGACAATGCAGTCGGTCTAGAAACAATTTTTCTTTGTCAATTGGTCCGCGGACGTGCCAAGTATTCTCTTCTTCTTGTCTTCTCGAAATAACCGAGCTCGGTGTTGGGACAAGGAGAAACGATCAAGTTGAAAGAAGATTTGTCAAAGGAAACGGTTACTTTAATGAGAAAACCCTTGAAACAGATATTTCAGGCAAACTATGCTCTCTTTCATGTATTATACTTACTGTGTAATTATTGCTGTTTGAAATTTTATTAAAACTGTTTTATTACACGAGTTGTTTAGTTCAGAGAAAAATAAAACATGAATTTTATTTATTCAGGATGTTAAAAAATAAAGAAATCAAAACTTTTAGGGGGTTAATAACAGACTATACTAGATAAGAAAATAAAATTACTAACTAAAAAGATTTTCAAATAATAATTTAAACATTAATTGAAATAAAAAATGGACCATCAAATTTTCTTAAATCCATCCCAAATCTTGTATGAATAAACGTCTACAAATTGAAATTACAATTAACGAACCTTTAATTATATTTTTAAATGAGCTCGATTGAATCAATTCCAGTATAAATTTACAATCGATAACATATGCTAATGAATGAATTTTCTACAGGTCGATGAATCTGAAATTCATCATAGTTGTATAGGAGACTTTGTGTGCTGAAATTCTCTGTGTACAAGCGTCATTTTTATACGGAAATGTTTCTAAACAAGGGGTCTGACCAACGCTAAGGAGCTCAGTACGCATCCGTGATCTGTAAAGGGCAGTAACTGACCGTGATATTAATTGCTTTCTGGCTATTAGCAAATGGGACCTCGGAGATCTCGCAAAGGGAGTGGCGAGCGTGTACGCTCGTTTCCCATTAACATTAACGCAACGCAATAACCGTGTACACATTTCGACCACCCCCTATTCTCTAACATTCACCCTATAAATCTGCAGCAAGTTCAAACTAAAAATACTACTTTTGTTTATCTTATTAGCTAAGATATACACGCATACATGTATGTATATTAACCCTTCCGGTGCCATGGGCGATTAAACACCTCCAGTAATTAGCGAAGTCATTTATTGGAAATATTCGAACGAAGCTTAACAGAGCATTAATAATTCAATAAGAATTGATATATTTTCAAATATAACGTCCCGTGATAAACATAGGAGTGCCAGAGATAGTAAAATACTCCCTAAATGATCGAACTACTCTTCAAAATTATTCACCACCGAAAGAGTTAAATTAACTAAATCTTGCGTTGTTTGATTATCTCTGTAGAAAAAAGATGCAGTATAAAAATAAAAATTTCAATGAATTATATATAGATAATCAGTATATCTTTCTTTCCTTTGAACGGATATCGATAGCACGTACCTTGAAACGCAGCCTCGAAGGTGGTTTTCTCCTCCACGGGATTTTGAGCGAGCACCCAGGCGACCGTGAGATAACCGATGATCATGAGAAACCGGCAAACACCAAGTTCAGCCATCGTCCTGCGATGTACATGCACAACCGTTGGCCCCCTTCAAAGTTCACTTTCTCATATCTCCCGTAACTTGATCGTTTTACCGTCGCGCACCACGACACTTGCGATTTTTCAACCGAGAAATGAGAGAAACAACGCGTAACGAGCACTGTGAAAACACCAAGTCTCGTGAAACACTTTTATGCTTCTCTCTTTTGTGTACAATACGAAAGCACTCGTCTCGAAAACACGTACGTGAGACCGAGAACTCTGAAAGAACGAATACGAGGTCGTGTCAAGGAGACGAGTATATCGAGTATTGTAAACGCGTGTACCTAGAAATACCGGACGACTAAACTAACCCTTTTCTATGTTTATGTCTGTGTATTCAATGTACATATACGCGTATGAAATATAGAGAGCGTAAGGTGGTGGGGTAATAGGAAAAGGTATGGTTCTATACATATACGAGACGACCTCAATGACTTTGATATTCATATGCTACGAAAGTCGATTTTCTAAGCAATTTTACATGTCCGTATAACGCTATTCAACTTCAGTGTTAAATATGTACAAGAAAATATTTCACAGAAATTCGTACATTGGTGAATAATTATTACTAGAAACTGGTAATATTTCGTATATTGACTATAAAGTTGTAAAGGATGGAAATATGTGTATGCAAAATTACTTAAGACCCAATACCCCTACTTTGTATTAATAATACCATTTTACCCTTATGCAGTATAAATTGTCGTATACTACTAATGTAACACGTGTACTTTTAAAGTAAGTTTTTCTCGAAAATAAAACTTTCTATAAAGAAATTTTATCCTAAAATTTCATCTTATTATTCCACGTACAATCTACTTTCCTAGTTGTACAACTAGTTTACCCGACACCCTATAGACGCAGTTTCTTTTGCTCGTCCTTTCGCTTCGTTTCTCACGAGAGCGCTTTTGACTTCGCTGCTGTTTAACATTCAATTGTGCGTGTAATGAGACTCTTGGTGATATTTACCGTTCCTGTTACCCGTCGATAAATGATCGATCCCTATGTTCCCGGTGATATTCAATGCAAATTCATCCGACGCCGTATGCATTTCGATATCAATATGCATATATGTTTTATAGCGTGTCAATCTACAGGGATATGTTCATTTTTACTGACCGAAATATGTACGATGAATATTCTGTGTATACCGTGTTCCAATGGAAACTAATACGTTTGTATATCTTTAAATTTTAACACACAAACATTAAATAATTATTGCTAATTTCTGAATACAAACTACTGTTTTAAATTCGAACATAACCTTTAGCAATGTTAAATAATCATTTTGATTATTATAATTTTGACACCAGCGAATTGTACGTTTAAAGATTTATCACGATGGCGGTTTAAAAGAAATGCAAATCTTGTAAAAACTATGTATTGTCATCAAATACGATTACTTGACACGACCAAATTACTTAAGCCAAAACGTCAACTATCGAGTGTAGCAAAGTGACGCTACTAAGGTCTCTATCGTAATCTTCCTAAAGTTCAACGACCGTAGTTATGTCACACGAATCGAAACTACGCAAATACTATGAATTGTTAAACAAAAGTACATTAAAACATCAAATCTATCGTATATTTAATGAATTACGTAGTAACTTGATACTATTGTCGTTTAATTTCAATCATATAATCGATTGAACTTAGAAACTGCGGTCACGCGGAGCAGACGGTGATGTCGAATAGATAAAAAAGAATAAAACGTTCATTTGCACGTCGTACCTGTCAGAGTGGTTTCACGCTCGTTCTGCGAGACACAATAAAGAAAAGCAGGATTGCTTGAGAACGTTTAACACACACGCGAACTCGAAAAATGACAGGAGCTGCGCGACAGCCGTGGACGCCGGCCGGTGTCTCCAATCGAACTGCGGGGTTCGGTCGACGGTGGCGCCGCCGAGGGACGCCGAGCTTCGCCGAGCTTTGCCGTGCGGCATGCGTCATAACGCCACCGCCTTCGATCGGCCGCCATTTTTTTTTTTGAAGCACGTTACTATCCCCTTGAAAACATTCCACCCCAAACGCTGTTTCCCGATCGAGACTCAGAGCTGTATACCCCTCCATAAATAAAAAAATCGGTATTATAATGTATTTTATTAAATAACTTTTAAACTGCCCTTATATTTTCTAATTATTAATCCCTCCAGTGTGATTGGCTGACGCGTACGCTCGTAATACCGCCAAAATTTAATTTGAAATTACACGCATGATTAAGAATAACGTATCGTATATTTTTCAAGAATACCATGATTATAAATTAAAGTTAATCGACTCATAGAATAATGCAACGATTGTTCTTTGATGTAGAAATTTAATTATCGAAAAATAATTTTGCTACCTCGTGTACAGAATACGTATAACTCATTTGGTTGTACATAATGTAATTTATTCCAGTCGTATCTGTTTAAGTGTATCATAATACACGCGACAATAAAGCGTATTAATAAGGGAACTTAAATTTGAAATTCACAGTTGGTTAACGAAATACGAAGGAAAATAAAGTCCGACCAGGATCATTGAAATGGAATGAAATTTTCAATTTAAAAAGGCGACGAGGGCTCGAACGATTTTCACTTAAAAGAAATAAATACCGGTAGCTCGCTCGGTCCCCGACTTTCACTTATCCTTTAAGTTAATTCAAATACCGCTTAAACCGATTAACAACGGCCTCTTGCAGTTAATCGAGTTCAACCATCGCTTCATTCTCTATAGGGCCTTAACGATAAACGGATAATCCGTTGCTATAGAAAGCTCTGAACCAGGAAAATCTGAGGCGTGTACAAAATTATTATAGCTACAGTAGAAAATTCTTTCTTATGCTTGATCCACAAATTGTACTAATTTTGGAAATTCGTGATTCGTGCATTCTCAAAATTATTGAAAAAGTAATTCCAGCCTCCTCTAATGGAATAGAAAAAGGAAACAAATTATTACAGGCCATAAGAAAAATTGTCACAGTGATATTTTTGTATATATCCAAATACATACAGTATTATAATTCATATTCCGTTTATGCGCAAATTTAAATTAAAAAAATAGTCTCACTGAATTATATTATCTCCTCTGCGCAAATGTGCGATTCTGTTTTATTCATTAACAATAACATATGGAAAAAACATAATTATACCGGTTAATTAAGCGCAGTTCTTAATACTTGTGCAAACTCCTGTTCGCATTCATATATAGAAGAAACACCTATTGGTAATACAAAATAAATCTTAAAACAATCGTAAAAATCAAAAATACGTTATAAAAGCTAATACTGTAAACGTTATATCATAAATAGAAATTCAGCGTATATCTTATTGGAAAGAAATGTGGATTTAAATGTAAGAGCACCTTAGAAAAATGAAAGGATTCTAACAACAAGCACTATAGAACAAATTAATGCCTTCCTTATGTTTGTAAATGTATAATATATATCTCGTGGTTAAGTCGTAATCCTGTTCTGGACGTGTGTTTGTACATTTGTAATTCGTCTATTCGAATTAAAAACGATTAAAGTCAGTCTAACAACAGCAAAATCTTTAAAAATATGAGTACACGTTAGGTTGATCTATAAAATGAACCGTTTTACTATGAACTATTTCTCACATTACCTATTGTACTCAGGTTAGCTATATTGTAAAAAAATCTTAAGTTTTCACATTAGAAACGATGGACCAATCCAATATAAAGCAACCAGCTGTAAAGGAAGAAAATGATGAAACCAATGTCTTATGTTTGTCGCCGTTTATTATACGATAATACCGTTCGTTTCGATTTCTATTATCGACAGTTCCAAACTGTTATCCAAACTTTGATACGTCAAACGATATTGTCGTACAATTCACGTTTTAACCATGGTTTCCTGTAAACCATCACTTGCGTCGATTGAAGACTCATTTACATATAAACAGTCACTTGAGAATATACCTACCGTACCGTGTGCGAAACAGTTCCAAACTTTATCGCGACGATAATAATTCGTCGTATGACAGAGGTGTTGAACGATTGAAAAATCCCATAGATTTCGAAGAGCTTAATAACTTTTTATGGTATTCGTAAAAGTGACCCACGTGTCCTCTATCGGTGCCAATACAGTGATAACAATGAGAGCCGCAGTGAATAAGACAATCACCACGAAATAGATGCCGAAGATGGATTTCCTGATTCCAGCGTGCTATTGAACAAGAATATCAAATGAGACAGTATCTTTTAGATTCCAGTCGCATCGCAACCATTCTTATTAGCAAGAAACTTACGGGTGCATCCTGTCTTGCATCCGGATGGACCATTGAACCTCGTGAATGCATGTCTTTCATTGGAAATGAATTCACCCTCTGACTAGCTTGTCTATCAGACGCACAACCGACAAACTGTAACATACATCGCTTGTCTTTGTTATAATACCAATTGCAAAGTGAAAATGGAAACCGTCTGAATTTAGAATCTTAAACTTTCTACAATTTTCATAAAAGAAGACAAGAAAAAGATCTCACAAGACTTTCTATAAGGAACTTAAACGCGTAGAAGAATTCTAAATACGAAAGTGTAATTCTTACCGTGAGTACAAGATGAGTGAGGATATGGAATACAACGTAGGCGACCAGAATCCAGTCGACCCATTCCGGGAGTTTGGCCTTATTCAACCGGACCGCGAAGAAAATTGCGATTACTGTGAAAGGAATTTCAATGCAGCGGCTAACCATGGCGAACGAAAAAGAAAAATATTAAACAGACGAGGTGAAACTTACTGCCGCAAATCTGCGCTGCATTTCCAACGAACCAGTGTGCCCAATTGAAAAGAGGTCTTCGCGGTGCTCCAGGATGAGGTCTCAAGGCTGCCATAAACGGTTGAACAAAAGCTAAGATCGTCGTGGCTAATCCAAGGGACGCGTGTATCACCTCGGAACTCCATTCACCCAATTCGACGAATATTATCACGAACGCAGCGATCGTCATCGACCACGTTAGTATCATAAAGAATCTGTGCCACTTGAATGAACAAAAAAATAACAAAAATCTAATATAGAAAATTCAACACTTTGACGACCTACATGCAGAATTATCAATGGCCAAATTATAATTAAAATAAACAATTAAATTTGTCGCTGGTAAAACTTTTAATGAATATAAAATGAAACAAACGTTGCTGCAAATGATAGATAAGGATATCGTTGTTATAATATGTGGACGCTCGAGGCGAAAGTTAAATAACACTCAAGAGTTAATAAGTATCCTTCAACCGTCTAAGATAAGTTCAATATTATCCTTGGACATCGGCCAAGTTTAAGCGTTCGTCCGTTACATTCAAGCTCTCGAGCTTTTCAACCGCGTCAAGTGTACTGTACTCGAAAAGAAATTCCGCCTTCCGCGTGAAAGTTAAAACGGTAATTATCTGTACGAGAAGGAAATCTGTTCACGTGCCTTGGGATTTAATTTAAATAAAAAAGAAAAGAATCTTCGAGTACCCTTTGCTCTTTCATATTCAAAAGAAACCATCAAAGAGCATTTAATTAACCCTGTTACCTCCTTTCAAAAGCAATAGATACGAACCTGATCTTAGAAATAAATTGTTATACAATTTGAGAAAGTATAGCATGCATTTAATGAAGTTCGCACCCTGCTTAACAGCCACAACCAGTGTAAAAATGTAGTGAATTTTCTAAAAGACATTGAACTGTACAACTCACTATAGCTACATAATAGTTTGACTATCAACAAATGTAACAGTGGTCGCTAATAGCCACGAGGTATATGCGACCTTAAACAATTAAATTAAATTAAATTAACAAATGTCATCGAATGAAAATGTAAGGGAAAAAACAGCCCCTCACAAAAATAATCCAGTTATTCAAATGAGATGTCTTTCATCTCTCATCCTGCACAAATAAATAGAACAAGGTGTATTCGATCGACAAACAATTCATTAATTACCAAAAAACGTTTATCGTGAAACGGTGTTTGATATAAAACACACATTACTTGCGAGGGCCGTTTTTCCCCTGTGTCCGTCAATTAAAATCTGATTACTCGAAACGATTAACGTGTCCGCTTTAAATTACGATCCCTGTTAATTCTGAAAGAAAGAGGATACTCTGTGACGTTATCATATTGCCACCGTTGACCCTCGTACAGACATTATATTAGGTCATTTCATAGGTAATGTGACTGATTTAAACCATAAAAAAATGAATACTTACAGCGAACCATTGATCCTTTCCACATAATTGTGAGCCAACCCATGTTTGCCTGTAGTATCTAGCGAGAAGGATACCGATGGACGCTGTACCGATCCACGACGCCAACATCAAGGCGCCGTGTACACGAATTAGGATGTTGCTGGCTGTTGAGAAAGCTCCAACGTCGGCTAATAATTTTGCACCACCAGTCGCGGCGTGAGCTACATCATGGAAACCAACGCCATTATCTAAAGATTTGGAAAATAAATTAATATTTTTTAGTACTTTCTCAGTAGAGGTATTGTTGAGTCTTAGAGTTTAGGGAGCCCCAATTCAATAAAAAAACTGGAAGTTTCCCTTTTTCAACAAGCTCAGGGAATAGAGGCTACGTTGAACGAAAAACTTGAGAAAGAAGAAGCTACTGTTACGAGAGAGTATTTATTAGAAGCTGACAAAGGTTTACGAGGTTCGCGACCAACTCGTGATACGCAGCTGTTTTTGAGTTTGAAGGTTTAGTTTTATGGTGGATATGTGCTTGGTAGCGTGGAGTGCATCCTCGCGAGGAACACTGGACTTTATTGTTCCGAGTTTTTAGAGCTTTGTTCTTTCCCTCCTCGGTAGAAAAGCCTGTGAGGAAGTTACAGCCTTCTGAACAGTAATGAAAATTTTTTTTGACTAACAAAAATTTTATGCTGTCTCAAAGCAGAATAAAGTCATAGGATTAATTAAAAACCTTGTAATAAATAATTTGTAAAAGGTACTATGGCACATTGGGAAAAATTGGAAAAAGTATTCTATGACCCCCCTATTCAAGATTATAATTTTTGTCTTCCACATTACAACGTTTCAAGTTTTTAAGACAAAGAGAAAACTACTAATTACGTACTCCTTAAAGCTTTGCCCGCAGCTAAAAGAAGATTGTACGGTTTATTGACTAGGTCGAATTCGCGACCCTGAATAACCGTGGTCTTCTCTCGCCAGAATTTACAGGAAATCACGTCATCCTTGATAGAACTGGACTCCATTTGAACAGCACCTTCTTGCTGTAAAAGAAATTAAAAATGGAGCAATATCACAACACGTATGAAAGTAAAACAGTAACCATAATTATCTAATAGGGAAATCCACCGACCCTTTTCACGCCTGGTTGTGCTACTGCAAAGGATTAATGAAATCATTATTAAAAGGAACTAAATTGAAATTGTAGACATCTGAGAACTAATAATAAACGAATAACATTTTTTTGGATTTCTGGCTACTGCTACCGTAGCAAAGCTTTATCGAATTGAAATTTTAATGAAATCCTAGCTGGTTCGAATAAAATATTCAACCGGTTCAGCTTGCACGATATAAGTAGCTTCATCAACTTTGCATTCGTGAAGCTTCGAATAATAAACGAATGAAACTCGTTACTTAAACAGCTCATTACTTCGTACGGTTGAATTTAATATTCAGTTGGAGAGAGTGTTTTAACATTCTCTTACGAGCATGTATAATGGTATACGAACCATGGGTTGCCGTATATTAGTCTTTCCAGAGTTCCAAGACATATGCAATCCAATTTCTCCTTCTTCGTTCGTGCATTCTACCACGCTGTCGTCACCCTGTGCAACAAATGATTAATCAAGTAAACCTTTATTCATTCAAATTATTAACTCCTTGTTACATCACGTTGCAAATTTTCTATATATATATATTAGTTTACTGGTGAGAAATTTTGATTGAAATACAAAAAACCAAAATCGCAGAATTACCATTTTGCTGTCATCCGATAAACCAACAGCGACATATTTACTGCCGCTTGCTTGAAGCTCGAAGAGATATCGTTCGCCACGAACGAGAATTGCGACCACTGCGACACAATTTTTCGTGTCCACACATTTCTCCGGTGTGCCAAAACAATTCTTCGTTGTGCCACATCCGGTGTACAAAGGATCCTCCGCATTGATCGGCTAAACAAGAGGAATATTCAAAATTTAAAATTCAAATGTTTGCATTGTATAATAATGAGGACCATAAGATTCCATAAATCTAAATGTCTTATATCGAGAAATTTAAATATCTCGCACGGTAACTTAATCGAAAATGAAACAATGGAAGTTGCTATACTATAAATGTTAATACAAAACTCATCCATCAAGCAACATCCATTTATCGCAAGTCATGAATCAGGAGGAGGGGGCAAACTTTCAACAGATTCTTGGAAGATTTATTTTCATCCAAAATATAAACGAATGCTGTTTCGTAATATATACGTGCGTACAGAAGCTGCATAGTGAGCAGCTAATGGGGTAGCTGCAGACCTACAGTCTGGAAACTCATCGATAATGTTCCCGACCGAGAAACAGGCAGATTCATTCGCCTTTTCTCACGACGATCTCGTTTCGAAAGTAGACCGGTAACGAGGACGACACGCAAAAAATCACTTGACCCGTATCTTGTCATTTGTCGTTCGTTAATGCGTCGACCGACGTAGTGGAAATAGGGTCGCGTGTAGTCAGATACGGCATGAAATGGAAAAATTTAATTTTACTATGAATTAAATAATTAGAAATTAAGTTTTCAATAAAATACTTCAGTTTGGTAAAATAGTAATTAAGAAGAATTAATACTAAAGACACTGAATTAATTTGTACACCTAATATTTTAATAATACCTTCTATAATCATATATTGAATATAAATTAACTGATTACTTAATTGCAGTGTTTAATTACAAGTTTATTCATAAACAAAACATAGGTTTAAAAATCTAAAGTAGCATGACCGGCCTTCAACTTAGACACAGCTCGGAAAACAGAATAATTGGTGTGGAGTAAGTGTTGCCGGTCATTAACCGCTGCTACATACATTTCCAAGCTTTTTATTTTCATTAAGTAAGCCCGTTTCGTTGCATCGTTGAAGAGAATCATGTACTGACCGCCATAATTAAACTGACAATTATTCTAATTACTCGTTGAATAAAGATCAGATGAACACGTGTTCTCATTATCAACCGCGAGATTATTCTTTCTTTTTTCAAATTAATAAAATAATTACTACGAATTCAAAGGGTTAACCATGCTTCCTAATGCGACAAGGATCAAATCTGATGATGGTAAACATCATTGACCATGATTCACGAAAGTAAATTACCATCCTATCGTGGAAATTATGCATTTTGCGTGGTATAGTTAACTAGTCTACGCATATATGCATGCATAATACATTCGTGAATCTTAATAAGGATATTCGTCGAAACATGATTTTACTTTTGATTAGAAAAATAATAGTTCAACCTAGATCGTTTATCAATACGTTCCACTCCTAGGAAAAACGTATCATTAATTACCTGACGATCATTATTAATCATTCTACCATCAAGTTCCTTGATAAAGGAATCTCCTACGAAAGGAAACAAAATTTCTAAAAAATCTTTTATTCGTGTAAAATTCAAACATTTCAGAATTTCTAAGAGTTATGACCCATCCCAGAAAAAATCCCAGTTACGTCCATAGTGCTCGTTAAATACATCGAATTCAATAGCAAACTTCGATTTCTCTTCCCTCGACAAAAAGAGCACCTGATCATCGAATCTTTCCGATGATTATTGGGTGTGAAAAACACGTTTTGCCTGGTGATCGTGAAGTCGAGGAAGAGAATGCTTACCTCGTAATCGACGGTCGGGCTGTAATAGGGCGGTGTGCTTGTTCGTAACGTGGTGATCGGCGTAGACGAGGTCAACACGTCGATGGATCGCTTGCGAACGTTAACTCTTGGCGATTCGACACCGACCCAGTACGTGCTGTAATCCTGTGCGAACGTGGACCTACGCCAAGAAAAAGAAACGAAACATCAGTAAATGGTCGAGATGCACGGTTTCGTCTGGTCAGTGAAAGGGAAACGAGAGTATTTCAGAAAGGCGAGAATCACTGACACGTGAGGAACGATATTGATACAATCGTTAAAAGATGAAGAGAATTGTAGCTGATGGACTAATAATCCTTTCAGATTTCATTGAAAAAATGCTATTAATTAAATCATTTTGTACTCTGAAAAACACTCTTTTCCTTTCTTAGGTGTAATACAAAATGAATAAAGAGGACTTAATTTATCTTGCCATGTAAAATATTCTAACATGATGTATCTTCCTCCCTATTAAAGTATACCTAATTATACAACTAGAGATACAAATCTTTTACTAACATATTATTATATTGCAAATTGAATTTCATCAATTGAAACGTCTTGCTGTTTAGAACACGGACCACGCAACACATTTTTCATAGCAACTGTTTGGGATGGTGGTCAAATAGTGACAGAAGTAATCCGTAACAAGACATATCCATCTACGAGTCATTTGTTAGTTGCTGACACGCTAAATCCTCGATATATCAATCACTCCGTAGCACATACAGCCGTGCAAGGAATCAGACATATATTTCATAAGAATTTCCTTCTAGTATTTCATCCTTTTATTTAGTATTCAATATTTATTCGCTCATCAGTACTGATAATACCTTATCAGGGGCACAAGCATAAATTAACCCCATTTTTTAATAAATATCAACAAATTTTCGAAGAATTTTCCCCCTATCGGACAATTATAGTTGCGCTACTGCAATAGGATACAAGTTCACTCCAATAATTCCAACAAAAATCAAATAAAAAAAAAGGAAAGGAAACACTGATCCATAATTCCTCATCTGAAAAGATAAGCGTATAAATTACAACGTTCCGGGTCATCGTGATGTAATAAGTTACAGTGCAGGCGTGGGAACACTGCAGGATAATACAACGTTGAGAACGAGTAACAGTTAGAAGTTGATGTTGAAAAATTCGCATCGATAGTTTTCATCGAAGGAAAGAATTCGCGGTCGAAAATCACGGTTAATTTATTACCGTCGGCATTAATTCGAGCAAGTTTTAATGGAGCTGGGTGTGCCGCATTAATTGACCGTTCAGGAATAACCGGTGACACCGATTACAAGCGGAAAAGTTTATAACGAATGTCCCGGGCGTTTCTCGCACCGTTATGCCGCGTTTATATTGTATTCCATACACGAGACACGGTTAAACCGTGCCACGCGTTCGTTTCTAATCGTAATTCATATGCGAACAGAAGCCTGCTGTGTGGTATCACGTGCGTGCTTTTACTAGGCGCACACTTTGCTCCCGAGACCGAGTTTCCCGATGGAAAATGAACGTTTAATTAGTTGTCCTAATTGCGACCGGTTCGTGGAAATATCGTGATGGGTGTCTTTAATTTGACAGGTTGGCTGTTTCACATAATTTTATATTAGATATTTGCAATTGCTAAAGAAATATACATTCATTTATAGCCGGAGTCATTAGTGACCTAATTTCATTCAGTTACCTAATTAAAAAATGAAGAAAGAAAGGAAAAAGATTTTTAATATCATTAAGGTTGTATTAATCATTCGAAATGGCAAAAGAAATTAATTCATAAGGATCTTAAGACGTTGATTTATAGAAGAATCAACGATGACCTAATTTCATTGGATTAAATTGAAAATTAAAGAGAAGAAATTTTAAATCGCAATAGTAACCTGAATGTAGAAATTTGAGCAGTATCTACATTAAAAGGTTGCTCTTTGAAATTTTTAATAATTCATGTTATCGTATGTCTTGTAGATATGACTAAATCTACTGCGCCAGTCAATCTGAGATTTTCTACTTCGGAATTCAGAAATTTTTAAATAGATATCTTCTGCAGTTTAAAAATGTTCAGAAATAGGAATTGGGTGAAATGATAATTAGAAGCAATAAAATAAACATGATAATCTCAGAACGATGTTTTGTACATAAGTTGTAATACTTGTTATCACAACAGGAAATCATGTACTAAATCTGACTATATAACTTATAAGCCTATGTCAATTTACTCTTTACTTATACTTGAATCTACTACATTCTAGTAGCAACTTATTTATCTTATGCCAGGCAAATAAAAATAGGAATTATTATCTTCTATGGTAAATATAAGTTTGATAATACAATCTGAGACTGAAATATGTTGATAAATTGCTTACTTAAAATCACAATTCAAAGTCATCTATTCTCCAACTATATTTTGTCAAAAATCAAATTATTATAATTCACTTTCTATAAATTTCTCGATATCGAAAACATTTCAGTTTCGTGCCACAGGATTTAATGTCTAATTCATATGACTAATTAATGCCAACATGATGTTAATTTGATTTTTAATAGGTGTTTAATTAGCAGTACCAAAAAGCGAAAATAGTATTGCAACTATGTGATTATAAAGACCTTTCAGAATCACCGGATCGTGACGTTTAATATGAATTATGAGAGGATTTAATGTGAAAGTACAGTAACGCTTGATTTTCGTGACTCGATTCACCTTGCTTCCGCATTCCAATGAGTTATTCCCTTTGCACGCCCAACAACCGTATCGTCATGCTGCATTTACTTGTGTGTACCGTTGCATCAAAGCAGAGTAAGCACGTTTTTATTCAAATATAATAATTCCACAAATTTCCTAAACAAATAATAAAGAAATGTACTCACTTGAAAACTATGGTACCCTCATAATCCACAGGTGCCTCCCAATCAAACTCGAGGTTATGCTTCTTACTGGTATTCGTGTGAGTCACAGCATTCTTAACAAAAGAAAGAGTAAAAAAATGTATTTTTATCGACACATTACATTATTTAACGACCTTCAGAAAACGAATGGCACGTGAATCACGTCGTACTTGAAATGTCTAATTCTGATTAAAAAAAGATCTTATCGAGAAAGCACTTATTAGCTAAAATGGACTTTGTAATTAAGTACGAGTATTTGGTCGAAATATTCAATTTTTTTTTCTGAACACAAGCTGTTTTGTAAGTTTATAAGTAAAATTAAGAATTCTTAATTTTTTATACTTCACCAATTTTTCCATTTTTTGTTCTTTGGAGTTAATTGACTTCGCAAATGAATGGCTTATTTTGTAATACCATTCCTAGTTCATAATTTGCAAGAAAATAATTTCTTCGCAAAAGTAATGCGCCCTTACTTTTACACCTTGCGTGCACTCGATGGTCCTCGCCGAGTCGGGCAAGTTTGCAAACTCGCCAACAAATTCACCGGTATCCGCGTCACGTGCGACTATCATGAAACCCTCGTAGGCAAGACCATGAGGACTTCCTAAAATCAAACGGACTCTACCCTGTCCCGCAGCTGGTAAAACTTGATAAGGAGCTGGGTGAGCGTTCTGCTTCGAGGTCCCAGGATGACGAGGTGTTAGATCCTCGCAGGAGTCCGGTGGTGCTCCTCCTGGCAGACCGAGCGTCCTCGCGAAGAGAACGCTTAGGAAAATTACAAGTGTTTCTTTCATTTCTGCAACAAATCAATTTTATTTTGTTGTTGATATTCGGAGAGAAAGAATTCGTCGAAATTATGAAATCTGGGGAATTTTAATTAAGAATTTTTCAATTAACCAAGCTCCCAAAAATAGAGGAATTCTCAAAATTTTCCGAGTTCTAAAAATTCTCAAATTTTTTCACTTTTAATCTTATAAAAGCTTTGAGAAACCGACTATCAAGGAACAAAGTAACAAAGAGCTCTCTAGTCGCGACAAAGTTGCAAGGCTAGTTTACAAGAAAGAATCCCGCCGACGATCAGTCCTTATACGAGACGGACACGTATTTAATCAATCTGCTTTTTATCTACCCTTTGCGGTGGAATAATTGCGAAGAAGATACCGCGTACAAGGATATCGCTCCAATTCCCGGAACATCTCTACATGTATAATGGAACGAGCTGTACTTTATAACAGCTCAAGAATTCGCAGCTTCTACTTCGTTCCATGCGGCTTTTCCGTATACGTCATCTGTGTTCATTGAACAATTTAATGTTGAAAGTCTGTGCATTAGTCACCGTTCTAAATTAACCACGATTTCTTGCTGTCTCTATAACCTGACCTCGGGTATTGAACGTTATTAGTGTCAGTAACATTATAAAATGTGTTGTAAAATTTCTACAAAAATTGTTTAGTAACGTTGGAAATAATTTATATTCAGCTAATAAAGTAATAATGAGGTACACTTTGAAAGTTTTGAGAATTCTCTTTCTAAAGTACATGAACGAAGATAGTGAAGGGGTTGACATGAAAGATCATGCAATTTGTACCTGTTTCTCAATAACAATGAACGAATCAATTACATAATAATAGAAGAGGCGTTTTAGAAATGATGTGCAAGCAAAGAAATCCAGGTGGGTCGTCCAAGTAAGATGGGTGAAAGTCTGAGGAGTCTTCCATGCGTGGGTTGCACACAACTTGTCTACTAAGTCATTCACTGTACGCTGCACGTGAGTTGAATTGTCGTGAATAGAGAAACAGTTTAACGTACGCTAACGGTTATACACGTATTTTTTTTTTTACATTCGCTTACGAACAATCGTGTATTCATGCAGTTGCTTTGCAACGTTGATCGAACGTTTACTTCGAATCTGTGTTTGCGTGAAATTTCGTGCCAGCTGTGTTTGCTGATAGTATCAGTACTGTTTGATTGGTTTTTAATGTACACATTGTTACGAACTTGCTACAGGAAAATACTTTTTAAAAAAAGACATTTATTTCTTAATAAATTAAGATGATGGATGTTTTATTTATTATTTAACCCAATGTTCCATAAGTTTTATTTTAATTTTGAAAAGGAATATAATTTCGCCCTTTGATTGCTGTTTTATAATTTTTTTAATTTCTTAAAGAATATTTTAGAAGTGCATAGCAAAAGCTAATATCTGAACGAACCAATCTCCATAAAGTGAAACCAAAGAGAAATCTCTAAGGCTACGTGCAAACATTACTTAACTCAATATTCAGTTGAATTCTAAAGAGATATTGTTACTTTGAACATCTCTATCAATTTAATTAAACAGGATTCGTATATTTTTCAAAGCCCTGCATTAACCCATTCATTCTGTACTTCAATTTATAATAATCAGGAAAAAAGGTACACTACAGAATGAAGTCCTTTTCCCTTTGTCATTATAATAAACACAAAGCTATGAATGCGGATCTTTGTATTGTTATTTTTAATATTTGCGATGAAAGAATATTCACATATTATATGCTTGTCGAGGGAAAAATGAAGCTGCAATTGTTGCGAAACATCGCATGCATGAGTACTCACGATTTTACATTTCCAATAATACTAGGTTTGCATGATGCCTTGGTTATTTAGTAGGTCAGCAGTTATTATTTAACTTTATTAATGATTAATAATATTTTACGACAAATTGAAGATAAAAATAAAAATCAAATTATGGAGCAATTAGGTAATTAATGATAATCGTCCAATATTATCAAATTTATATTATTGGTAAAACAAATATTTTAATAATTAATACAGGAATTATTAATTATTTAATTACTCCTCACAATGCATATTTGACAATATTCAATACAGATAATTTTCACTTTTTAATAAAATATTTTAATAATTAATGGTAACATCATACTCATTAACAAATATTACTAACTTCTTGTCAATATTATAATATTAATCTACCCCTGATATTCATTAAAAGAACTGAATTACTTTAAAAGATCCCGATCTACCACTCAAGCTATTAAAGCGATTGAAGTCTTCATTAATTAACACGTTGACTGGCACAGTAGAAACAGCCATACTTAATAACGCACACAATAACAAGCACCATTAAGGAGGATATTAAAGATTAATTTCTTCTTTAATTTAATCATTCAATTTGTTACTTTAGATTATTAATATCATTCCCATGGACTTCATATTTGAGTAGATTCAATTCTTTTACATAACTGATCCCGACAGTCGACGCTAATTTGTTATAATTCGCTAATTACATCGTATAACATGATGCAATTAATTTAACACTGAATCGAGGTGCTAAATATTTCAATCGTGATACGGAATGCGATAATACGGACTATTAAAGATATTAATGATTCATTTTTTTCTAATCTAACGCTTCAGTTTTTTTCAAAATTAAGTTACTGGTTACTTGATGCGACAATGATTATTAAAAATATTAATTATTAATTTTTCTAATTTAGAATTTTCAGCCCATTAATCGATATATTAAACAACAATCCAATTACAATGCAAGAAATGTTAAAACAATGTTAAATATGATGCAAAGGTTAACATCAATTCTGAAATAACGTTAATAAAGTAACAATGTAAACAGCATACAATAGCCTCAAAACGGGGACTTTATTTCTTTCACCGGTGTTCACCGCGATAATGAAGCCAGGGAATAAAAATCCATTCATTAAAAAAGAAAAAAAAGAAGCGGCGTTGAATGACAGATGAAGAATTAAGAAGCACGGTAATCACGCTTCGTCGGCTATTATCATGTATCATTACCGTATTGTTTGAAGAAACGGGCACAAGGCTTTCTGCGGTTTGTTCTCCATTGGTACCGACTCACGCACCGATCTACGAATCTCGACGATAGAAACTGTATATACAATAATAACGCTACTATAAAAGTGCATCGTAATTCGACAAAATGTACTTTCGTTTGATGTAGAACGATAGAAAAAAGATTTCTAATGAGAGCGAAATGGTACTTTCCTAAGAGAAAGCATTTCAACAGATTGGTTTATTTTTCTTTCACTCTTGTAGCATTTGGAAATTTTTGTTTTAATTAAATTGCACTTACAAGTTTCTATAAATTCATGGATTTATATGTCACTTATTTATCTATTACACAAAAATGATACTTTCATGAGTGAAAGTATTAAAATTATTAAATTTCTTTATGTTCCGCTTTCATGATATTTAAAGAATATTTGTAATTAGAACATTTTAAATTTTCTTCAATGTCTAAAAAGATTATATAACAGCTTCACTCAAGAATTTTTGCTTTTTGATAATTTTATCAAAACGAAATAAAAGATAAAGATGTACTTGCGCAACAAACGTGAATCACAATTTTCATATTGCAAAATATTTCTCCAAATATTTTCAACCACGTGGCGTGCCCAGATATAAAATTGTGAAGAAGATGTACAGTTTTATCTATCGTTTCAAGAATACAATCATGTACCCACACATGAATTATACATGATGGAAAAGTATATGAGTCAGACAGGCTGCCTCACATTACGCGTCACTTGTGCAAATAATGTAACATTATGCACTGTTTATCTTTCTTCTAATTTTAAATACTGTCCAACAAAGTATTGCATACAAATTCCACACAGGGGTGGTTCACAATAAGAGGTAAAAATAATTGGCAAAATAAAGGTAACTAGCAGTTATTAAATAATTCACAAAATTCTTATCAAATATTTTTAATTTTCTACACAATTCAGCCTTCAATCCCCTGTGTGTATAATAATGCTTTAGTTATAAATGAAAATGATTCTGTATCCATGCACCATATGAGTCCCAAAAGATCTGTCTTCCAAGGATTAATTTTTTCAAAGTAATCAGCTAAGTCTGTTTTTGATCAAAGATAACTCAGTTCTATAATACATGAAGATTCAGATATGGAGAGAAGACTACAAGGACGGATTATGGTATTACATTTTTACTTTAGCGCTCACCGATCTTTATATTTAATACTTTATATCAAGGGATTAAGACATTATCGTAATCAATGATTAATTGCATTGGTTCAATAGTGAACCACAATTTGTTCAACAATTAGATGGTTCAACAATTCGTTGAATAGTATTAACCTTGTATTATATTCAGGAAGCGATAATCACGTGGAATTTGCAAAGTTATGATAATGTGAATTTACATTGGTAATGTAAATTCACTTTTTACATGAAATGAAAGTGATGGGATAGTTTCAAGTGAAAAGTAAAATTTTTTTTGAATAAATAATCTGTGAAATATTAAAAATTTTCAACATAGAGTTTAAATCTTTTAAAAAAATAGAAAACTATGAAATCTCGCTGAAAGGTTTTTCTAATACAATCAAACAGTATGCCCTGTGTGTTTGGTGAACGTATCACTATAGTAACGTTACTCTCTTGCCCTATAAATTATTTACTGAACACTGTACCTAGAATTCCACTTCAATGTTATCTAGTTATTTTATTGCTAGTTTATATATATATATCATGCACCTCTGTCCTAGAAATTCCTTGTCGAACATTGTTTCGAAATTCTTAAGTTGACGCGTCACGTTGCAAACTAATTTCTTACGTAAACGAACTAAAATGCTAATGAGAATCTATTTACTAACAAGTAAGAAAACATTAACCTAAATATAATTCAAAATATTTCAAAAGATTCCTGGAATGTACAGTTGTACTTGTTTCATTAATTTCATTCAAATTTCCCGCCTCGCTAATTGAATACCATTGACATTATCGATAATCGATTTTCGATTTGAAATCATTTTTCAAATATTTTCAATTTTATATAATAAATGAATGCTACCTTCCAAATGAAACTATAATTTCCAAATGTTTCGGTAAGAAATTAAAGATTCGGTTTCATTCTATTCGATACACTATTTCTCGATAATTGATTATGAAACGATTAGATGAAGAAAGTATGTTGAATCGTCCACGCTTTCTAAACTATTACCCCAACGCATACTGTTTTAATTATACTAAATGTTACACGTTAATGATCGATTTTGCGTTAAAATTTAGCATATAATTCACCCTCTGAAACAAAACGATTCGTTGTGCCACGTGCATGAACATGAAAAACATTTTGGTCGGTGACAGGTGCACCGGGAAACTTGTTTTTCAAGCAGGCGTTACAGAATATGGAATGAAGCACAGTTACGTTCACCATAACAATTTTATTTTAGCGACTGATTTTTATTTTATCGACAGTTAAATATTAAAAGTTAAAAAAAAATTTAAATAAACTCTAATAGAATTACAATGTGTCTTGCTATACAGATCCGTTTTCACAGCAGCATCAAAATCAGCGAACGAACTAACGTCAAGCAAAGTACATTCGAACGCTTATTGTTTCTCACTTAAAATGACGAGTTAACAATTTGAAATCGGTACTCACGATATTTCATGTTCGATTGTCGCGTCGATCCTCGATTTCTCGATTTATTCCCAGCGTAAATAACACGCGATGAAACGAAGTCACGTGTAGTCGGAGCTCCGATACATGTACACACACGATCTTTGTTAATTCCGTCGAAAAGAAACACGCGCGTCACTGGCGTAACTTAGCGTAGAAAAACCAATGATTCATCGAAATCGTTGATCATCAGAACGCGACACAAAATCCTAAACTGCAACGACGCCTTTTTAGCGATGATTAAATCGGCACAGTTTTATACAGGTTGCTCTGGTTTCGACTCGCGTTGATCTTGTGTCTCTCGCCACCTATGCGCGGCTGCTTCAAATTCTCCCGTATACACGGAGATCGCGAATAAGAAAAAGAGCTGTTCACTATAAGTTTAGTTAGGTCAAGTGTTTTCCCGTCGTAGTCTCGAGGAGCACTTGTTGATTCCGGACGAGCATAGTTCTGACCAGAAACGCCGTGAACCACACCTTACGAGAGACTGTATAGTGGATATACGGATCGAGTTGAAAGGCCCTCGTCCGTGAGACTACACTCAGGACCGTAGCAAGTAACTGGTAATTTCGATGCTTTATCGATCCACGCTCTTTCAGATCTCTCCGCATAGCATAAACAATACTTGGGCATTTTTTAATTTGAATGAGAAATGTACTTACTCATCTAAAGCGATTTTGTTTGCGAAAACTAATAATTTATTAAATCATCATGCCATATTGATTACTAACTTGGAAGTTTAAGGAATGTATGAAACTTTATATGCCGATATAATGTACAGATGCAGATTAAGTGATAATCTAAAAAAATTGCGTATTTTTAAGATATAAAATAAAGATCATTGATATCCATTAGATACTAAGTTAGGTACTGTAAAAGATAACGTATGAATAGCGATAAAAATTAAATATTGGTAGAGGATCTGTAGACGCCGGAAGTCTTGTAACTCTAAGGGGAACAAAATAAAACTTTATTTCAAATAACTTTTCATTCTCAAGATCCATAATTCTTTTTAAAATTATTTTTGGTGGAAGAACAGAACATTTATTTAAATTAGATGAACGCAATTTGAAACATGATTACTCATAAGATAAGAAAAGTTGCGTTGTCAAGTGATTGCTACGAGTTTCTGAATTAGCAGATTACCATTCCCAAATTGAAATACTATTTAATGAATGTCTAGTACCAAGCCACACCTAATAGTGTTTAGGTCGCTACACAGTTTTACCTTTTACTCTGGGAATTTCTGAATAGTCAAGGTACACTATGACATATTGAAA